TTGCTTATGTCAAGATAACCCTTTAACTGTATTACTTCTGTTCATTGTATGAGAAGGAAGAGGGAAAGTTTTCAAGCTTGATCTGTGTAAGAAAACTCTTTGGCTGAACACTTTTCTCTGCGAGAAACCTGGTGGTGACTGACAGCATGAAACACATGGCCGTGTGCACGGAACTTTGTCATGCAGTCAGTTGTTAAAAACTGGATTATAAGATTTAGTGTGGGTGCCCAATAGTTGGTGTTCTGGGATCTTGAAAATGAGCATTTCCTCAGTTTGTGACATGGAGATTTCCATAGCTGTACTTCCTGGGGGAAATCCTTATGTGTTGGACATTGGTGCATTAAGACCAGCAGTGGTCCTTCTGGGCCAGTATGAAATGCTTGTGTTGTATAGCTGAGGAGCTCAGTGCACAAGTCCATTAGCAGCTCAGTAGCCTTCTTTCTAACTGGAAATAAGATACATTGATGTGATCCAATGTTTTGGCTGTTAGATGCATCCTGCAACTGGAAAATATAACTTTCCTCGTAACTGGAAGGCAGGTGTTTTGTGTTCACAGTTGCACGAGGAGAAGGTGCTATCTGCTGGCAAACAGCTGCTATGCGGACAACCAAGAGCGGGCTGGGTTTTAGCAAAGATGTGAACCTGGCAGTGTTCATAGACTTACATCAGTACTGACAGCTGGGGAAGGACATATATCGGGTTTGCTTTTGCTTTTTTCAAGACACCTGAACTCTCTTGGTCTCATTTGAGCTGAGATTTCAGCAGTTCTTGTCTAGCTTGATACAGCACTGAGCATAGCCAGGGGTTCTTCCACCTTTGGATGCTGGGAGATAAAGCAGTAGGTGATGGTATGGTGAACACACAGCACAGCTTATTTTGCCCAGGGTGGGATGAAAAGGTGGATATTGCTTATTCTTGCTGTGAAATGTCTGACTGTCAGAGCAGCCACTCTGGGACTCTGCTGTGATCCTGCACAGAAAAGCAGGGATCTGCCCCTGCTCTGCCACCTGCAGCTAAGTCTTGGGTCTTGCCTATGATACTGGGAATATGGATGTCATTAAGGCATTAATTTCTCCTTCCCATCAGGCAGATGTTGCCATAACATGGAAATTTCAGAATTATGTCTTCTTCACACTTAAAATCTGAATTAAGGTCAAAGAAGTCCAAGGACTGTCTGTTGCATGAGTTCTTTTATATAGACTTATGTTGAAGCTCAAGAAATTAATAAGCATAAAGTATTATGGTGTTATGGTTGATGAGAAAATGAAAATGAGCCAGCAGTGCGCACTTGCAGCCCAGAAAGCCAGCCGTATCCTGGGCTGCATCAAAAGGAGCGTGACCAGCAGGTCAAAGGAGGTGATCCTGCCCCTTTATTCTGCTCTTATGAGACCTCACTTGGAGTATGGTGTGTACTTCTGGTGTCCTCAGCATAAAAAGGACATGGAACTGTTGGAACAAGTCCAGAGGAGGGCCACGAGGATGATCAGGGCACTGGAGCACCTCCCGTGTGAAGAGAGTCTGAGAAAGCTGGGGCTGTTCAGCCTGGAGGGGGGCTATAGAGATGGTGGGGAGGGACTCTTTGTCATGGACTGTAGTGATAGGACAAGGGGTAATGGGTTAAAACTTAAACAGGGGAAGTTTAGATTGGATATAAGGAAGAGTTCTCTACTGTAAGGGTGATGAGGCACTGGAATAGGTTGCCCAGGGAAGCTGTGAATGCTCCATTCCTGGCGGTGTTCAAGGCCAGGTTGTACAGAGCCTTGGGTGACATGGTTTGGTGTGAGGTGTCCCTGCCGATGGCAGGGGGGTTGGAACTTGATGATCTTAAGGTCCTTTCCAAGCCTAACTATTCTATGATTCTATTACATAATTCTAGTGGAAAGCAAGCAATAATAAAATCCTGGGTGTCTGCTCTTTGTGTCTTTTAGAAATGCAGCTGGAACTGGCATCTCTTAATTGCAGCTTGTTTTCCAGGTCATCAGTTTGACTTGTTGAGTATGCAGTTCTCCCAGATGGTTTGGCTTTGTGGGTGTCTTACATGATCTGCATGTCTTCAAATGTTTTTTTCTGTCTTCAGGCTTGGCACTTTGAATGAATGCTGTCTGGAGCCTGAGTTGTGTAACATTTAGGTTTGAATTATGTCCAAAATTCAACTGTGTTATCGAGAAATATCAAGTTTGCTCAGTGATAGCTGCATCCAGACTTCCTGAAGTGTAATGGTGGAAGTAGGCAGGTCTTTCAGGCTGTCGAAATTTCAGCAGAAATACTGAATCCTTAGCAGGCACAGATTGCTGTTTCTGTAGTGGACAATATCAAATCTTCCAGGTACAGTAGGTACTAGAAGTTTCACACAGGAGTGTGTGTATGTATTAGGACCTTAACCTGTACCTGTGAAGTTGTCTGGAATCTCTTAATTTTCTTCTATGGCTGATACCTTAAGCTGCTGCTAGCTTTGATTGTACTTTGCATTTTATTGTTTGGGTTGGGTTTTTTTCTCATACCTGTCTTTCTCCAGCGAGGTCAATTTTTACTATTAATGGCTCTGTGCCTCCAAAATGAGCTGTGGAAGTATGAGCTATATTTTGTCCTGTCTGTGCACCACCACTATGAATGGGCTTAGTAAATTCTCCAAAGTTGTATCAGTACTAGTACCAATAAGACCTTGGAAGTATCAGCTTTAATTTTCTGTATCGGGTGAGGTCTGAATGCTCAGTTCCAAAAATTGCAGTATTCTCAGGACAGTTTATGGGGAGAGAATAAAAATGCATAAACCCAACACTTGTGTCCATGGAAGCATCCAAGTGTCCTTCTGCTGCTTTGATTTTTGTTGTTGATTATTGTTGTTTGGAGTTTTTTTCTTCCTCCCCTTTTCGCTGTGCTTGTCAGTGTGAAGCTCCTGTAATTGAAGATTGTATCCCTGTTGCACTGCCTATGATTTGTCAGCCACACACTATTTTTAGCTGGTTGTTTAGGATAACCTTCCCATGGCTGCTGACTCAGTGTCAGTGAGTACCAGGTGGTTACTGCACCTTCAGACAGAAAGAACCTTGCTGGGATCTTCTTAATTTTTTTACATTGGTTTTCTTTTACAAAAATGTGTTTTTATTGCATTTATCGGAACAATTCTATTCTGAAAATGCTGTCCTAGTTAACAGTTGCCCATCATAGACTTTTTAATGCATATCTTAATAAAGAAGAGCTAGGTTCTGCAAAGGACGACAAGTAATTGCTGCTTCCCCCTCAAAAAAAAAAAAAACAAAAAAAAAAAACCACAAAAAAAAACCCAAAAACCACTGCCAAAAAACCTAACCAAACAAAAACCTCAGCAAAATATATTGACTCATAATGTATTTTTAACCAGCCTCCAAAGTGATGGAGGCAGAGTGGCATGTATGTTGGCTAATTGATTGCACAGCCTTTGATTGATGGGATGCAGTTTGGTTTAGCATCAGCTGCAATTGTAAGCTGTATGGCCGTGGCTGAAATGATTCATGTGCAGCAGCAGGATCTCCAGACTGAATTAGAGGCTTGTATTGACTGTGGCGCTGTGCATTAGTTAAAGGATTGGTTCTGTGCCACTGAGTGTCTGAAGCAATTAACTGCTTCTCTCTGCTAAACAATCACCTCCTTTTTTTTGTGAGTTCCTCTATATCAATAGTGACTTTTAGGATAATTTATTTATTTTGGTGGCAAGGCAAATAAAAATCAGTCTTGTTTGGGTTTTTATTTCTTTTTTTTTCAATTCTCATTCTTGTGATTATTTTCCTCTACATACAAAATAAAGAAGTATTGAGAATACTTTAGGATTTATAATGTTTTTACATTCTTCTAGGAAATGCGGGAAAGCTCTGGAAGGGTGTAGAAAAGGATTTGTTTGATTTGTTTTCCAGCCTCCCCTAAGATTCAGCAATCTACAGCCCAAGTTGGCCCAGCTACAGTAGTATTGCTTGTTTAAAAATATAACCAAACAAAAACCTGAAACCATGCTCCTACTATTAGCTTGTGGCTTTCAGACCTTAAACTGAGTTGGACTTGGCTTCAGCATAGCCTAAGCGGTCAGTCCCTAGGTGGTAAGGTGCAGTCATTCCTGTGGCATGGGAGCTTCAGCGTCTCACTCCATTGATCCTGGCCAGGGAAACTTGCAGCTCAGTAATAAAAGCGGCTTTCCTCCAGTGATGTTGCTATCTCATTTCTTCTTAAATTGATGAGCTTGTAGTTTTTAATTAGACATTTAATTGAGCCTGGTTTGTTTCTATCTTTTCATGATGCTGTAGTACTTCCAAAAGGAGAAAACAAAAGGGGTGATTTAGTTCTGAAGTTGAGCAGCAGGGTGGACAAAAGTGTACCAGAACTATTGATTTTGGTCTAGTCTGGCATTTTGGTTGTTCTCTGGGGAAGTATCCAGAAGAGCATGTCATTAATTCAAAACTCTTTGTGTGGGCAGCATGGGAGTTTCAAGAGCTGTTGAGAACTGTTTAATTGAAAGATGGTTTTCAGAAATCAATGCATCCACCTCTGTCCTCTCCTTCCCTTGATTTTTAGGAGTTTATTGCCCATTGTTTTTCAAGACAATGCGGCTAGCCCTTCTAACAAGGAAGGTAGACATGTAAGGCAAGACAGCTGGGGTAGCTTTTGGTAAGACAGAAGAGGTCGGTTGAGGAGTGATGGGAGGAATTGAGGGGTGGTGAACTAAAAGGTGGGTTTGGAAGAGAGTATGTCAGTGACACAAATGTTAGCAAAACTACTGGAAATGACATATGGCATCTCAGGAGCATACTGCTGTGGTCCAGCTGCCTGCAGAAAGGACATGTAGCTGCCAGCAAGCAGGGGTTGTGGTGTACAGTATCCAGGCCTGTCCACAGCTCTTTATACTTCAGAGGATTTCATTTTCTGAGGGGAACTGAGAACCTCTGGGGCCCTACTTGCAGTAAATCCCAGATGAGAGAGGTGGTGGAACTGCAGGGAGAGGAGTAACTGAGAAATGCAGTTTTGTTTTTCAGGCTGGCAGCCTAGATGGTTTCTTCTCTGTGGTGGCATCCTGTCCTATTATGACTCTCAGGAAGATGCCTGGAAGGGTTGTAAGGGAAGCATCCAAATGGCCGTGTGTGAAATCCAAGGTAACTAAGATGCAGAAACACTCAGCTGCATGAAGTTTTTCTAGTAATGTTGCACTCAAGATGAGATTTCAGGTCCCAAGGGCTATTTGGTAGCTTGATTTCTTTGGTATGTATTTGTATTGGTATATATATTAATCTATGTACCAGTTTTTATAGTATTTTAAAAATGCTAGAGAGCTGCAAGCCTCTAATATAATGGGTATTCTACATGTGGGTTGCTGTTTCATGAGTCATGGTGGAACATCATACAGCTTCGAATGACTCTTCATAAGAAAAAAACTGAAGCTAGAAATATGAATAATAAACAAGTACTAGGTCTGCTCTCTAAGAGCATGTTTGCCACATGTTTGAAGTACAGTTAAGGGCTGAAAACCTCAAAGAGAGAGTTGCCAGAGAGGATTCTCTTTCCATAAAGGCTCCCAGATTTTACTGTACTGATCACAAAACTGCCTTTCATAGCCTTTTATCCCACAGCTGTACATGTGTGTGTCCTGTCTATTCCCCAACCCAGAAATGAAGTCATGAAATTGAAACAGGGGAAGTCTGGGGCTGTATGTTGCCTCTCTTTCGTTACTGCTTGACCTGCCACTTAACATATCTGTTAAGATACTCAGTTGGGCTGGGAAGGGGTGAAGGACTGCTCTGAAACCTGTGTTGCTTCCAGTTCATCCTGCAGATAACACGCGAATGGATCTGATCATCCCAGGGGAGCAATACTTCTATCTGAAGGCAAGAAATGCAGTCGAAAGGCAAAAGTGGTTGGTTGCACTAGGAACTGCCAAAGCCTGTCTGACTGACAGCAGGACACAGAAGGAGAAAGGCAAGAATACCCTTTGTGATTGATTTTTAAATATTCATATTAGTATTTGGAAACTGAAATGCCATCATGGTTAGGCTGTGAAGATTAATTCATCTACCTCTTGGCTTTCATCAACTTTCACCCCAGTGAAAAACCCTCTTGCTTATGTTACTCTTAATTCATCTACCTCACTTTGCTTTCATCACTTCCACCCCAGTGAAAAACCCTCTTGCTTACAAGTATGGTGTTCTTCACGAGTCACTGTGAGACCTCTGGGCTTAACCTTGTGTAACCTCAGCACAGTGACTTTGTAGCAGATGGGAAAACATTGAATTATTAATATGTCAGTGATCCTGAGCAAATGCAGGGGCAGCAGATACTTCCTTTACCTGAGGTGAGAAATCACTTTACCTCTTGGCCTTATGTGCATCTTCCCCAGGCTTTGCATCTACCAGTTCAAACTGAGTCAGAGCTGAGCAGAATATGATCCTTAGAATCATATAGTAGCATCACAGAATAGTTAGGGTTGGAAAGGACCTTAAAATCATCTAGTTCCAACCCCCCTGGCATAGGCAGGGACATCTCCCATTAAACCATGTCAGCCGAGGCTCTGCCCAACCTGGCCTTGAACTCTGCCAGGGATGGATTTGTAGGGTCCTGCACAAAGTGGAGACCTGATGTGCAGTGCTTAGAAGCAGGGCAAAGTTTACAGGTATAACTGACCTGCAGTAGCACGGGTGAAAAGGTACTGATGTATTTGCAGAACTAAATCATGTTAGTGTTGTTAACAGACAAATATATTTTGTAATTCTGGGACTCCAATGTAAAAAAATACTTCTGAAAATTCTCAGATTGACTGTTAGTCATATCTGGATTAATCTGCTCAGTTCTACAGTCTCCAGTACAAGAAACATATGGACATACTGGACTGAATCCAGCAAAGGGCCACTAAGATGATTAAGGAAATATCTGCTGGAAGAGCATAAAAAAGGTGGAGCCAGACTCTTAGTGAATGGATGAGGGGAAATGGGCATAAATTTAAACATGAGCAACTCCACTGAGACATAAGCAAAAATGTTTATATTGTGAGGAATGAGGGAGCACTGAAACAAGTTGAACAGAGAGGTTGCTGAGTCTCCATCCTTGGCAGTGTTCAAAACCTGACTAGACATGGCCCTGAGTAGTGTGCTCTGGCTGACCCTGATCTGACCAGGGCACTAGGACTATCTGGTCTCCAGAGATCCATTCCAACCTCAACTATTTCAAGATTCAAGTGTATATATTAAATTAATCCCTTTATGTTGGGCTGGATGTGTATTTCTCCTCCAGTGTTTTTTCCCAGAACCCTGATCTTTTAATTCACAGTGTATTTGTTTGACCCTTAAGCTACTCAGGATGAAATCCTTATGTATCCTATTTTTTGTTTTCACTACTTTAAAAGGCCTATTAAGGTCAAGTGTTGTGTACTTGCTTTTTCTATGTTCTAAGTCTAGGAGCATATCCTATTCGCTGTTCTTATCTGCGATGGCAAATAATAAAACAGTATTTTATCTGTCAGGAGAATATTTTATGGCAAATACAGCTCACCTTTTTGAGTTGATAGAAAATGTTTTGAAGTAAGGAAGCACTGACTGAATTAGATTGGATAATACTATTTCAGCAGCTGTCCAAAATCATATACTGCAGGATGAATGCAATAAATTTAATTCTTCTTTTGTTTCACTTTTTAGAGTTCACTGAAAACACAGAAGCCTTGAAGACCAAAATGTCTGAACTCAGACTGTACTGTAACCTCCTTGTTCAGCAGGTGCATAAAACAAAGGAAGCTAGCATTTCTGGCATATCAGAACCAGAGGTACAGCTCTAATTTGGTGTAGATCACATCTGTAAACTCTTGAGCATCGTGAACTCTTCTGGTTAGCCAATGTAGTATTCACTCACAGTTACTTAATATTGTACCCTGCTTGATTAGCCTTGTTTATGTTGAAGTTTCAAATTTGCAAATCTTCCTGACCAAAGCAGCTTCATTTAAGTGCAGTCTCCTAATACAGTCATCTACCCCTTGCTTTGAGAAAGATGTGAAGGAGGATGCACATCACTTGCTAGAAAAGCTGGTGTGAAGTTCCAGGATGCCTCCCCCTGGAGAGGTGCGTCCTCAGGTGCAGGACAGGCAGGCAAAACATCTGAAGGTTAATCATTTGTGTGTCCAAACCGTCTCTGTAAAGATATCTGATAAGCTGTTTATGGTGAATTAACAGCCAGTGCAGAAGCATGGTGTAGTGTGTGACTAAAAGTCGTTGTTAGAACTTGCAGCTCACAGGTGTTTGACAATGAACAAGTAATGTGGTATTTATCAAGCTCATAGTTCATGATTCTGGGGGAAAGCTCACTTTCCCTGATCTTGCTGGTATTTAACTGGAAAAATTTGTTGCTAAAAGCATTTCAGCATCAATAACTGCAGTTTGCAGTGATGAAGAGTATTGTGGCAATGTGATACTTCATTCTGCCTGGTTTTCAATTGCAGTATTTTTTGTTCGAGATTTTTGAAGTTATTGTCTGCAGAACACTCTGTATCTATTTGTTTACTTTTCATTTCTCATGTCAGTGGTGTCTTCTGGAATGTCATTGTTGAATACACGAAGGCTTAGTATTTAATACACTTTTAACACCAGAGATAAGTAACCAAAAGGCATCGCTTTTAAAATGCAAGTGTACTGAATTTGTTGTGGTCAGAGACCGATAAGATTGGTAATGATGTGGGGGGTATGGCCCCAGTAATACAGGATGACAGTTCTCTGAGAAGCTGACACACTGCGTTTTAATTCATGCTAAACAGAAATCATGACTGTAGCAGCTGTGGGCTTTGTAGATGTTAGCTGCTCCAAATCTATCTTCTGCGGTGAGTCTATTTATTCCAATTGGTTTCTTCCCACAGAGTGAGATTGATATGGGAGCTCTGTTAAAATCAACCTGTGACACCTTCCTGAAGACTCTTGAAGAATGTATGCAGATTGCAAATACTGCCTTCACTTCTGAGTTACTGCATCAGACCCCACCAGGATCCCCACATTTAGCAGTTCTCAGAATGAACAAGGTAATGGACAGTATCATCTTCTCTCAGCCTTGGGAGGGATGCTAAGGCTCTGTTTCATAAAGCAGCATTTACAGAAGTAGGGAATGTGGTTTTAACTGTATTACAGCTAGTAATCCTCCACTGGACATACCTGGCTATTTCTTGTGGTTTGCAAATGAGGTAGGGCCATTTCTTAATAAGCAGTGACCAATCTTTTAACTTTTAATGACAGGGGGAACTTAGTAAGCATTAACTTTCTGGCCTGCTCCAGCTGCAGACAGTGGTGTTTCAAAATACCTTGGCTGTTTGGCAAGTTGGTCCACTGAAGGAGCTTACCGCAATTATTACTCTCCTAAGCTCCTGCAACATTGGATCTGTGGTAATACACCAATAGGAGGTGATGAGCTTATCTTTTAAGGCAAGGGCACTTTGTTGAATCCTGGATCCACAACTTACATAGGCAAAACTGGCAAACAGCAGATTAAGGTATATGTAAGAAGGTACATGTGTCACTGCATCTGAGAAATATTCTAATGGTGTAATAATGTAGCACCTCTTTTGTGTTTGTCTGTATACTGCCTCCTGGTCAGAGAATTGGGAAGCATATGCTTAGTCTTTCAGCTTTTTTGCTGACTCCAATTTGTATTTAATAAAACATGAAGTTTGAGAAGCATGATACAGTCATCTTGCTTTAAAAAATATTCTCCCTTCCCACTTATCTTACAGATAAAGCACTCTGTTTTGTCCGGTCACACCCCAATGGAAAGGTATAATAAAATTCTTTACTTTCAGTCTTTCTCTAATCTGTTTTTGTTAGTAGCTGTTACTTCCATATTTTTATTCTAGTATTGGATGCAGGCAGAATTGTATAGCTGAGCTGTGTACTTGAAAGCTGACACAACAAAAGGGAGCTGGTTCACCACGTCTCTCCCTTAGTGGCTCTTTCCCCTTTGTTTCTCTCAGCCGTCTACTTGGTGACTTACTGGTTAGTCACCAGCCAGCTCTCTCCCACTTCAGTACTCTGTCCTGCATCTCAGGTTCCACTCGATAACCTCATAAAATCACTGATAGAGAGCAGGCTGTGATTTGTGGAATAGATGGCAAGGGTATGTTTAAAGTACTGAACAGGGGATACTATTTAGTTACAACACCTGCCTGTGATTTTCTTTTTTGTAATCAATTGCGTTATTTTTTTATTAAGTCTCTTTTGAATAAAGTTCACTGGAAATATATTCAAACTCAGCAAACTGAGGTTGAATCATTCATCCTTCTTGCTGCAAAGAGCTGCCTGGTTCCTTTTATTATTTTAGACAAGTTCTTTGCTCAGAGCAGCCTGTGACAGCCTATAATTTGCCTGCTATTTTTCTCTTACTGTTGTTTGTGTGTTTTCACAGGAAGAAGCTTACCAAGCAATGTTTTATATACTAACCATTATTCTTTCCCTTTCTTCAGGCAGATGGAATTGAACCCCTGTGAAAATGGCTCTGTAAAAGTAGAAATAAACCATCAAGAGCAAACCCTTATTAAAAGTCTGGAATGTTTAAACCTGGAAACAAATGAAGGAAGTAGGGATGTTTCTATTGACAATCACATAGCAGAGGATTTGTCAGGTAAATACATGCATCAGCATTTATCCAGGATTATTACTTTTTTAAATGTAAATGGAGGGAGGTGTAGGCTGCTTCAGAGTGCGCTGATACCTTGCTTCCCAGGAGGGGGAATGTCAGTGTGCTTTAGTCTGCTATCTGACCTTTGCAAGTCTTCTCGTAACCACGAAGCTGAAGCCCTTGTTCATAAGCTAACGTGGGACTGAATGGGGGAGGAAACTAAAAAGTCTTTTTTTGACAGGTGGAGGCTCTTCTGGATGCTGATTGACATGTGTAACAATACAGTCTGGCAGAGCTTGGGTTCTTCTTGCACTGTAGACAGGCACATTATTCCCAGAGGCCCTCCACTAGGGATGCTGGCATCTCTGCTAGTACATAGAGCTACAGTGTCAAAGGGGGACATTAAAGCTTTGTATGCCTGTCTGTGAGGGGTTGACCTTGTAGTAGCTCTTGATTGCTATAACGGATCTTTACAGAAAATTAACCCTTTTTCTGCAACTAAGAGTTTACTAGAAAGGACCTTATTTCTTCCATTACCTTAGCAATAGCATGAACATTATGTTTACGCATGACTTCAGTAAAAGGCTGTTGAACTGACTGAGTATAAAATTCCATCCAAAGTAGCTATGTTGTTAGGGGCTGATGAACTTAATTTTGGTAAGCCTATATAAGTAACACATTATTTCTGCTAGTTCTGTTGAATGGACTGTATCATTTGTGAACAGTAGCTTTCTCTGCCTGGCTGTTATTCCAAAACATATGTATGCAAGTCAGTGAATTAGCTGAAGTCTCTAAGCCCAAGCCCAAATTAATGAACATGGTGATTTTGCTTTTAAATGTTTTTTTCCTTGATTTATTTCCCGGCCCCCACCCTCCCATTTCTGTGGCTCATGTAGCGTAGTAAGTCCCTGCAGAGTAATATGTATGTGTCACCATTTAGTGTAACACCTCAAGAATACAGTGCTAAAGTAAGGAGGCCAAACTAATTCAAGTCAGGTTGGTGGCATATAGTCTTCAGTGGCACCTGAAAGTCTTCTTTTGCTGGAGAGACAGGTTCCCTGAGAAATCTTGCATGCTAGTTTGACAGTCTAGCAGCAAGATGTGCTGTAGCCATGGCTTGTGTGCTGCAGATGCTGTGAGTATATCAATTTTGCTTCTTGACTTGTTCTGTGTAGTTCTTCATGAGGTCAGAAATGCAAAGGATATATGAGACTTTGTCTTCTTTTGTAGATGCTTGTGCAGTGTTCTGTTCATTTGAAATGGATGTGCTTGACCCCAAAGAAGAGATAAAATAGACCACAGTGTGGAAGGGGCACTTGGATCTTTTTCTGAGAAACATTAAAGATACTCACACAAATCAGAGAGAACATAGCAGCCTTTGATATCATAGCAGTATCCATCTGAGCAGCCAGTTGTCTTAGTTATCAGAAGGAGCAAACAAGTCACTGTTACTCTTTTGCTTTTGAAAATGCACTGTGCCACTTTATCAGTGCTGGGGAAGTTAGAACCATGTAAGAAGTAGTCTTTCTTTTGAGGAGATGGCCTGCTTTCTGCTGCACCCAATCACTTCTTCAATCCTCTCATAAGGCTGTCCTTGCTTGAAGGTGCGTGGGCTCACCTCATTGGAGCCTGGTGCTTGGCCTGTTTCATTTGAAGAAACTGGAAGGGAACTGGTTGAAATGTGGTCTGAGGACCCAATAGACCTATAGTGAGAGTCATAGTGCTGGCAGGGAAAGCTTTTAAACTTGCATGATCTAGATATCCAGGTGCCTTCCATCAAATAGAAAGCATCTCGATGAATAACAATATGGGTAGGTAGCTGTTTTCTTATGTTTTTTCTTCTGTTTCCTATAAATATAAGGCATTAAAGAAGATGGAGAGAGCAAGCAGCAAGCTGTAGAAAGCTCTGGTGCCCACAAGTTGCTGCAGTTGGAAATGAATTCTTTAAGTGGATTGACACTGTGTGAGGAAGACACAAATGACAATGATTCTCCTACCTTCTTCAGCGTCATGAGCAATAGGTAGTACAGATTTCAGTTTAAAAGATTATTGAAACTTTGTTAAGCCTTTAATTGACTCATTTTTAAGACTATTCTGTCTGTAAAGCTATATTTGCTGGGATTATTTAACAAGACTGAAGAAGATATCCTTTTTAGAATGAGCTGTGCAGAGCAGAGTGGGAGGTTTTTTCCTTGTTTGTAATTACAAGCCTTGCTTGCACACTACTGAATGTCTATTTTCTGCAGTTATTTTCTTTAACCAAGTGAAACAAAAGTCATGCTGGTTTTGTTTCACTAGGTTTTATTTGGTTTTACATATATCTATAAATTTTACCTCTGAGAAAATAAAGTGGGCATGAAATGTAATTCTGCTTTTAGAAGCTGCACAAAATGAGTTAAGGTAACAGTCTTTTCTGCTTGCCCTGGACACCAGGTTCAGTGATATTGAACTTCGGGAGGAGGAGGGCATTCCGACAGAAGAGTTTCTGGAGTCGTGTTATGCAATTGTGCCTGTTCTTGGTAAGCAGCTACTTCTTTTCTCCTGACTACTTTTAACTGCTGCCAGCTGCAAGAAAAGGCAGAGCAGTTTGTTTGAAGAATTAATTTCTCTGCCAAAGTGATATAGTAGAAACAGTTCCTATCAGCAAAATCAATTTGACTGATAACTGAAGATGTTTCTTACTCCTTGTTTTTATACAGGATCCACTCTCATTTAGTACAAACCCATGTATAGTCTGTCTGGAAATATGTAGATCTATCTGGACTAGATAGATTTGTTCCCCTCAAGAACAGTACCTTACACATCCAGTACAGTTGACAGCACACCATCAGCTGAACTAGCTAATGATTTCTTGAAAGACTTCTATCTCCAGCTAATGTAGCCCCCTACCTGCTTGGTCCTTGCATCTAACAGTGGATGTGAGGTCCTGTGAGCATGCACACTTTTGAAGGCTTCCAAAGCGTAGGTTGGTGTATTTAACACTTGTATGAACATTGGTTCTACACCAAAGAAAAAACTTTGATTGTTCATTTATCGATTTTTATCAATATTCTCTTGCCATTTAGAAGGATTAAGACAGTAAATGAAATTAATTGTTACTAAGACATGAAGACATGAGGGCTGGAAAAAGACACAATTTTAAAATATGGACTTTTTTTCTTTTCTAGACAAGTTGGGGCCAACTGTTTTTGCTCCTGTTAAAATGGATTTTGTAGGTAACATCAAGGTAAAAGCATATTTCTAGCACTGATTATTATTTTTTTTTTTATTAACAAAGTATCTTTTTTAGGGACTAAAGCTCAAGAATCTTTGTTGTAGGAGTCAATACTGGAAGGCTGTTTAATGTTTGATAATGGTACCATCTGTCAGATCAGAATGCTGAAATGCCCCTAATTCTGTTCTCGCAGTATATGTGGTCTTCGATAAATCCAATTGTTGTGCATAAGCTTATAAAACACTTGATTGACTACCATATAAAAATTATGTTACACCTAAGGAATATTACTTTGATTCTTAGCTCAATAGGTTGTAAGTCATAATGAGGTGGTAGCAATATTGACTTTAGACTCTAAAACAAACAGGGAGGGGCAGGATGGAACCCTTTCCTTAACCAAGGAGGAGGAAGTTAGTGCATTAAAAAACAGCTCCTCAGCAGCCTCAGTTCTTGTTCTGGAAGTTCTTCCCGCTCCAAGTCTGCAAAGGTTTGAAGTGCTGCTTGTGAGAGAAGACGTACTCATAGCGAGATTTCATAGGTTTTCTTTAAAGGGGAAAAAGAAAGGCAAAACATATCTTTTGAGTGGATGATAAGGAGCATCACATACATTCAGACTTGTTTGGTGCAAAGACACGTATTTGCTTATCTCACTGAAGGTAGTCACTGAAAGACAGAAATAGCAAGAGAGAAGAATGCTATTTAAAAACCTAAAACCTTGAATATTTATCATCAACTGATAGAAAGCTACTCCTTTAATGTAGAAGAAGAATCTGTTTATCTGCCCCTTATATATTTTCTCTCTTGTTTTTGTGAGTTTTGTGTATAACAAACTTAGGAATAAATTAAAAAAGCTTAAGCATGCTGATGACTGCTAAGTGTAATCAAGAATTTGCAGCTTAGCAGTTGTCAGAAGGCAGTCTTGCTTGTAGTTGAAGCACAGGGCAAATAGGACTTGCTTGGAGAGCAGACTGAGTTAACTCCTGTCCACCAGTGTGGGGGGTATCATGGGAATCCAAAGCATTTTGTCACACAGGTTCCATGTAAATCTTTGACTGAGGTGGGTTTTTTTGGTGGCACTACCCAAATGGCTAGCCAGATGTGTCTGGGGTGGTGCTCTGGGAAGGCCATGTCCAGCATGGCAGGGCAGTTGTGCCGTGGGGAGTGCGTGACGTGGTTGAGTATCTGTGGTATGCTTTTGAAGGGAAGAGTTCTGGTAAATAGGTGGTATTTATAGGGCAGGCCACTCTTTTGTCTTAAAAACCTAAAGCTTTGCCTCTTGGTTTGTTGTTTTTTTTTTTCCCAGAAAATAAACCAGAAATTTATAACCAACAAAGAAGAATTTGATACTCTTCAGAAGATAGTGCTGCATGAAGTGAATGCAGGTGTAGCACAAGTTAGAAACTCTGCTACGGAGGCTCTTCTGTGGCTGAAAAGGTAACAGTCTCATACCTGCTAATCCTATGAACTTCTGAGGTGCAATGAGGGACCTTTCACCAGTGCAGGCTTATGTATGTGGAGCAAATCAGTTACTTTCCACAGGCTTCATTAATCCAAATTGGCTGGTTCCAAGACTAATATGTCACCTGTGGATGTATTGCTGCAATTTTGCCAAAAGGCCTGCAAAGGCCATGGCAGGCAACTGTTTTTCCCATAAAAGTGAAGTTACAGAGAGTGACTGATCTTTCTGGGCCAGAACATCACACAGGTGATTTCAGGCTGTGGCAGAAATGTTTTAGCAAGTATTTTACCTTGGGCAGGGAGAGAAGCTGGAGGTTGTGGCTGCATTTTTTTTTTTTTTTTAATCCAGATTGAAAGTAACACCTTAATTCTGAGTTTTATTGCACTTCTGAGCTGTATTGCAACTTTAGGGGCTTTGTTACACTTTGGGTTACTTTGTTATAAACATGGTTTCTTTCTATTTCATGGGATCATCCTGACAGAGGCTTAAAGTTCTTGAAAGGGTTTCTGACAGAAGTGAAGAATGGGGAAAAGAATATCCAAACAGCTCTGAGTAAGTTGCTTTGTTCTTTGTGTGCTTCTGAATTTACATACTTGGCTGCCTTCCTGCTCATTTAGAACCTGTTTTCTTTTCTGCAGTGACTAATGATGCAAGTAATCTCCAAGACATGACTTTTCTTGAAAACCACAGTTTTGAAAATGGTCACCTTCAGGCGGATTACTAGATAACTGGTCAATGTTGATTTAACAGCAGATAAAGAATTCTTTAACTGGCATACTTTTGACAAGGGAAAAAAGTATTTGTTCCATTTTCTCCATGAGTTTGCAGCAGGAGTGCTCTGGAATTTATAGCTGCTGTTGTGTTATGTTTTTAGTTCCTTGTGAGATTGGCCATCGCTCTTTGAAATCACCTCTTTGCCAGCATGGTTGTGAACTCCCTGTATCAATTAGAAGGGAACTTGTAACAGAGGTGAAGGAATTTTTTCCAAGTCCACAGTTTCTGACACTTACCGAATTAGGCTAGTGCCCACAGCAAGTATAAAACAAAATACAAACCTGCCTTAGACTTGATGTGGTTATCCCTGAGTAAGCAGAAAAATGCAGAGGTGATTTTTCGAGGCGAGCAGCTCAGGGAAAGTGTGATACAATGTCAGATACTTAAAACTTCAACTGAAGCACAAGAATATGAAATTACAACAGTAACAAACTGAGACTGGGAAAATATGGCTCAGAGATGTTTGGCTTTGTATGCAGGCAGTTTGTATATGAAAGTGGAGGTGCCTAGGAACATAACAGGGGTCTTCATCACAGGCTACACTGTGGGTATTCATAAGAGATCCTGAGGGTTATTTTCGTAAAGGCCTGGTGCTTTCTTTTCTAGTGATCCTCAAAACTAGACCTCCAGATGTGAAGATGGAGTTCTTGGTTAATGCCTGAGCTAACCACCTTGTTTGAGGCTAGCTAACCATCAGCTTGCAGGATTGTTTAACCCCATATGATGTGTTCTCAGATTTGCACTGGACTGAGTTCTAGACAGTATAAGAGGTGTTATTTATGAAGCACAGGTAGTCAAAGATTACATTTGGCTACCTGTCTGTTAGAACGCTTGCTGAGGATGTGTTGAAGGAGACTTGACAGCAGAGCTGAGACCGCAGTGCAGAAATCCTATATCTGTCATCAAGGTTCAGTTATAACTGTGGTGCTCAGAAACAGCCATTATTTTCATCCAGTGACAAGAATATATCAAATAATAGTAATTTCTAAGCTCTAAGTTCTGTTTGTGATGCAAACTTAAAACTGCTGTACATTTATCTCTTGATTTATTTATTTCTTATTTACTTTTCCTTTAAGACAATGCTTATGGAAAGACATTACGGCAGCACCATGGTTGGGTTGTCCGTGGGGTCTTTGCAGTAAGTATTTATCTTGCTTGCTGATGAAGGTGGGGGTCTTATTCGTGTGATCTTATGTTGTATGTAATTAATAACTTATGTTAAAGTTCTGAGCATTACGATTAATAGATGCCTTTGTCCAACCTGATTCTCATGGGGAGGATTATAGTTATGTTTACTATGTTTAGTATTGCGATTTCAGGGTGGAACCTGCTTTCTGGTGCCAAACCAGATCACGTGTGCATGTACACTTTGTTCATTATGTGTTTTTCAGCACAGTCTTGCAGGGCTATTAAATTAAGAAATTAGAGTTTGAGGTTGCTTTTTTTGAGGATTGATCTGTCTTTGGATGTGATTATTCAAGAAGGTTTAGTGCAGAATGTGCCAGGAGTTGTATTAGAATATATCGGCCAGGGGACATGGTTTATTTTTTTGTCCAGTCTGGCAGCTCCCCCTTGTGTTTATCACTGGAAATTATCACTGAAACTGCAAAAGGAGAAAGGAAAGCTTCATCCAGGCAATCATAACAGACTTCAACTGGGAGAAACAGAAATGTTGGGGAGAGCTTTCTGAAGAGCATTTTGAGAATGGGACTTTAGGGCAGTAGTGTGTGACACTGGGTTGGGAGTTCCCCAAACAAACTGTACTTTATTTGGGGTTTGTATTTAATGTATGTTATTTATCAATACAAAATATGATCTACAGACACTCCTAAAAATCAGGCCTCCCTGAAGATGATTTGGACTGGGGATCTATGCAGGGATAATAAAAACAATAAAATGAAAAGATGTTGGCTTTCCTACCAGTAAAAATCCTTAACATATGCATGTACACATAAATACATTAAAGATATGCAATTTAAGTGCAATGAGGGATGTCTTGGAATTTTTTCCTGGCTTTAGTTAGGTTTCTTTTCTTGTCCTGTTTTGCAAATCTGATAGCTTTGTTTCCTCTCCCAGTTAGCTTTAAGGGCAGCTCCAACTTACGAAGACTTTGTGGCAGCTCTGTCTGTAGAGGATTGTGATCCTCAGGAAGAAACATTTTACAGAGGAATGCAGAGGGACCTCAACATTTACTTACCAGCCATGGAAAAGCAGCTAAATATCTTGGACACTCTCTATGAAGTACATGGTTTGGAGTCAGATGAGGTGGTATGACTACAGCAAGACCACGTCTTAAAACTTCAGGGACTGTGTCTGTTAACAAAGATTTCTTTCATTTGATTTATTTTTGGACATTGTTTCTGTTCATTGTATCTTTTCATGTGGGAAGGGTGTTGTGAGTGTTTTGGGGAAGGGTATGTGTGATTTTTACTTTTTTGTTACACTTGGACTGTGTTTAAAGGCAGAGGTACTGTTTCTTTTTGGGTCATAACTATGTCCATGATGAATTTTTTTGATTGTTTCTCTCCTGCCTGTGTGCTTCCTTTTCTCTTCACCTCATCAAATTAACAGAGCAGAATTTGGCCTTTGCTCCCTTAGAGGAGACCTGTGTGTGCAGTGGAGCATTGGGATGTCAGCACAGTGCCCAGGTAGGCACTGCTGGCTCTGGCTTTCCCGTGCTCTGTGCCCACTCCCTGTGACTGTGTAGGACAGGGGTAGAGAGTTATAGTTAGCACAGTAGTAGAAGGCACCTAAATGCCAGCCTATAAGGTATGTGGTGAGTTTGTCCCTTAATTTGAGTTGCAGCTTTTTAATGCAGCACCTCCTCGGTGGGGGGGTCTTCACCACAGGGGTATGTGGCTGGTGGTCTGAGCTTCCCCAGGAGCCAGCCTTTGAAACTGGGTGTCATGTTCCCTGACCAGCTCCCAGTATGTGTTATGGTCTCCCTGTCAGTTCCTGCCAGGGGTCCACAAGAAATTTGCTGGCACAGACGGGCAAAGCCCAGCTAATTTCAACAGTGCATCACACAAGCAATTGAAGATCATGTCCATCATTCTGGTTTATTAAAGTTTTGTTGGGTTTTTCTATTTTGCGTTTAGGGTTTTCTTAAATTCACACAAAAACAAAGTATTTGCTTTTAAATTTAATATGGCTGGTAGTTTAAGAGGCAGATTTCATTAAAATCCTTCCTAAACTGCTGTTATAGGCAGTGACTTCGTGAAAGTGGATATGAAGTGAGTAAAGTGTAGGGGAAGCTAGAATTTGTCATGGAGCTGTTACACTGTTATTGGGCCAATTACAAACCTAAAAACCTGAAATGACATACAAGTGACTGGAAATTAAGAAGGTAAGATTTGCCCTTTTTCCCATTTTGCTGATGCAGATGAAAATGTGCTCCTTGACACTGCTGCTATTGAAAAGAAGGAAGTTCTTCTACCTAGTGATATGGAATGGACAAAATTCCTAGTTGTGTTGATGACTAGAAGGTTGCCTGTGAATTACTGACTGGCCATTCAAAGCATAAGCAGGTCTTTCAGTGGTGACCTAGGGCTTCACATGGCTTTGTGCAAACAGTTGAGTTTAACTCATATGCAGGAGAGAAGGCTGTGGTAATAAGGTACTTATAATTAGTAAATCTTCATAAATATAGAAGTCAGTGTCACCATACAGGAGAAGTACTGGCTTTTCTAGGCTAAAAACCATGTTGTCAGTAAAATGAATGTACTGCAGACCTGCTGCCCTGCATTGCTCTGTGATGGGAGCCTCTCTGCACATTGAATACTTGATCCTTTTTAAAGAGCCTAGCATTGTGAGCTTTAAGGAAAGCATGTGATGCTTGAAGAGAAGACCAAACCTCACACTTGCTGTATAAAGCAAGATACCAGGGCTTTAATTAGGCATTTGAACAGTGCAATTTCCTTGTTCCTATCATCTTCTCCAAGTTGTGCCTATCTGTAGTTCCTGCGTACTCCAAGAGGAATCAGAAGGATGTAGGGGTTTTAGTCTTTTGGATTTTCTTAATTTAAGTAGTATATATTTATGTCTGAGTACAAAGTTAAATTGACCAAAGCTCCATTCAATTATTTCACTTCTTGCAGTGCTAAAAATGAGGTAGAAGTTCAGCTGCCTGCTGCTTCTAAGCATGAATGCAAAGAAACTACTCCTGGAGCAGGAAAACTAACTCTGCACCCAGGTTTTCAGCTGTTATGTGGAAAACTTTGCTGTAATAGTTCTTAGCGGAATGCTTTGGAAAGGTAATGGAGACCATAATTCCACAAAATATCAGCTGGAAGAGATCTCTCTTCTCTAGAAATTAACTGTCAGATCATGATGAAAATTGAGTTCCCTTTTTGCTCTAAGCTTTTCCAGTAGCAGGGAAGTGTATTCAGCACTTAAAGTCTTGGAGGTATGTTTGAGTTTTCTGGTTTTGATTGGTTAGTTTTGGTTTGGTTTGGGGGTTTTTTGTAACTATCAGGAGAACCACTGGTCTGTTAGTAGTGCATTATACCCAGTATTTGATGCAGTCAGGAGGGTTTATTTCATAGACAGAGAACTTTACAGCTTCATTGGTTCATTAGCTTCAGCAATTACTAACTCATACCATTCTTCTTTCTTCTAACAAATAGAGTAGTCTACACTGCATATCCTCTGATCAGTATGGCACCCTGCCTCAGAGCTTGCTTTTCTATGTAAAGTTGGTCTTTCTGAACTCTGGAATTGGTGCTTGAGAATGTTTTTAGGAGACCGTGTCTTCAGGAGGCTCCTGTGTGTTTGTTGTTAATGGGGGCTTTCTCTTGCAGAGACAGAATTGAGCAAAGTCTCCTTGCCTTCAAAACTTGTACTTCACCATGCACTTCTCTTGCAGGGTGTTGAGCACTTCTAAGACTTACACATGCTATCTTTCCAGTTAGATCACCACTGAGAAAGAAACCCATGCACAATATTGTAGAGCTGAACTCCAGGTTATACCCCTAAGGATGCAGTAGACAGATGACCAAGAGGGAGCGTACGCACTGCTACACAGTTCTTTTCCAGTGATGCCAGTTTGGCAAACAGGATTGCTTTTGATTTTAATAATCATAGAGAACAAGTGACTGACTTCAGATTTAGGAATGGAGAGAAGGCTGCTGTTTTCTGTTTGATTTCTTTGGTTTGTTGATTTGTTAGGGTTGTTCTGGGGTTTTTTTTTAATGGCTGACATTTACAAACAGCTAACCTGCACATTGATAAAAGTCCACATGATCCCCAGATAACAGCACCCTTGCTCTGTATACTTTACATGAACAGCTTTAGTTTCTTATACTGCAGTAGTCTAAAGTTTTGCATCCCTTTCCTTAGAAATGCTTTCGGCTGTTTCCTGCGGTGTCTAACAGTTGCATATTCTCAGGGATTTTACTTAGCCATGGCAAAATAAGAGCAATCACAGCCTTACCCTAGTGGCGTAAGGCTGCTTTTTGCGAAATTGGTATAGCTGAGCGTAGAACTCTGATACAGCATATGACACTGGCAGTGTCTATCTGGTGCGCATCCTTGCTGAGATGTGGTAAATCCCAAAGCAGTCTGATAGAAGTGCTATCTAGTACTGAATAATGGCAGTCAGCATATTTGAATAGAGATCATACAAGCATCTTTGTAATATAGTGCCATTGGCATTAGAGCAGGGCTCTCAAATAATTTCAGACGAGTTCTGCTTAGCAATGGGAGGCTGTTATTTATTTTATTTATTTTATTGTTGAGAGTTTGGTTTCTTGGTTGTTTGGGGTTTTCTTGTTTGTTTGTTTGGGGTTGTTTTTTTTCAACTATGTTCTGCGGCCCCTTCTGCTATTTTAAGACCCTATACTCGGTTGCATATTGATGTACTGTGACTTTACAATTGTATAATATGAACTGGATACTCAAATGCTTTAGTGTAAACTTAAGGAATCTCTGAAACATCCTGTCTTGCCACTGTTGTAATATGGGTCTCCCTTTAACAGATGCACTTAACTTTTAAGGGCCATATACCTTCGCTTACAAGCTCTTTGTAAAGAGGATTTTAGGTTACAGCTGCATTTAAAAATGTTCCATAGTTTGAAAAGTGTCACTTATTTGGCTGGATGTATAAAAAGTATGCCCAGAATTGCTCCAGTTGTTCACAGGGTGCTTTGGCCAAGGAGTGTGGACCATTATAGAAAACAGTGTTACCCATGTTCATGTGCTGGACCCAACCCTTTCTTTTCATTATTGCTTTTCACTATCACTTCAGCTGTTGTCAAAAACGTTAGGGAGCCTTGAAGTGTGTTTCAGACCCCAGAAAAGTTTGTTAGCATGTTCCTCCCTGACTGTATTTCCCTCTTACCCTACCTGGTCCCCATTCCTTCATTTCCTTCTACTATCATCTGACAGGTCTTCCATTGTTGCTGTCACGTCAAAGCCTCTCAATAAGAACACAAAGCAGGAAATTTTAAGTGGTACAAATGTAAACTCAGAAAATTGGACCTGAATTCTTTGGCAGGCAACCAAACATACAGTCAGGTGGAGAATGTGTTGCTTTTGTTTGAACTTTCTCCCTGGTTTGATATATTTTGCTAGGAAAACCACACCACTTGGAATGTTTAATTTCACTGCTGAAATTGAAATTGGGCCACTTCAGACTTGGCAGCTCTACCTCTTATGAGTGAAAGCACAGGGATTATTTTTGTTCTTAATTGACTTCTCTTGTCTGCATAGTACAAATAAAACAAAAAGAGAAGGAGGCTGGGAATAACTGAATTCATGCCATGCTGCTACTTTCTGTAGCCTCTTTGTGAACAAACCCTGCAAACTACTGTATGCTTGAAGCGATATAAAACCACCCTTGTGCAGAAGGGGTATCATAGCACACTTACTGGCTCTGAGCAAGCCCAGGCAGTAGCTGATCCTGCTTATGGTTCACACATGTGTTTAGGCATTTACTTTGAAGTTAGAACATAGGCATATGCATCACTTAAACACTCATGCACCCTCCCACCAGCATGCAGTTCTTCAAAATGTGATCTTTGACTGTAATTTTTAACACCTTTTTCTTGGTATAGGATTTCTCCCCCCACGTACTCCAGATGTGATGGAGATGGGTTTTATACGCGTGTGTGTGTGTGTGTGTGTGTGTATACACACACATATAAAATATATATATGTATATATAGACACACACACATATATATGACACTTCCTTGTTTTCATATCCTGATTTCTGCTTAACACTGTTTGTTATTTTTTGTTTTCATTGCAGCATTCAGGGAGTCCAAAACTTTATTTAAAGCCATCTTGAAAGTTTGAGATTTATGTCTACTTGAAACCTGACAAGTAAATCTCATTCCACAATATGGTGACTAAACTGAAAACCAAAGTAGCTTGCTTTTGTGTTTTCTATTTTCTTTTTTCAAGCCAATTTTGGGCATACATTTTACCAATGTCAAGCTGAGCTTATGAAAAGCCTTACTTATACATACTAAATACATTACATACATACTGAAATACATTTAAAGATTAAGAGAAGGTATA